AGGTCTGTATTTCAACCATTCATGGGTGTGCCAACTGAGCTGAAGTTTAGTTTATTAACTTTATTTAAAAAAGAACTGTCAGGGTTTTGATCCACTGTCTGTTGATAGCTACGCACGATTAAAAAAAAAAAAAAAAAAAAAAAAAAAGCACGATTTGCATTGGTTTGATGTTCGGATCCGGAGCGTCCATCCATCTTCGTTGGAGCCTCAGGTGCTCACTATCTAATCTTTTCTTTTCTTTTCTTTTCTTTTTTTTTTTTCTTTTTTTTTTTCCCTCTTGCGAAGAGAAAGTCTGAATACAGTGAATAGCTTTTTTTTTTTTTTTTTTTTGAAAAGGGTGACGGCCTTGAGATATGATCATTGCGCTGACAGGCCCCAGGCAATTCAGAAATATTCAAATATTTGGTTTTACTCATCAAGTTCTAGCGTCAGGACTTGGAACTGGGGTATGTATTTCAACAGTTCGTGGGTGTACCCATTGAGCTAGGCTCTTGGGTGTCTGAGAAGCTTGCTTTCTTTTTTCTTTTTCCTTTTTTTTCCTTTTTTTTTTTAGGATAAAAAGAGTGGACCGTTTCTCGATTCATGCATGTCATCCTTGCGCGGGGGCCATCTATGCTAAGCACACTTTCTCTGTATCGTTCCAATTTCAACGGATGTCCCGAAGGACTCTGAGAAGGCTTTTTTTTTTTTTAACAAAACAGGTCCTTATGGCCCTGGCTCCGTTTCCATGCTGGGGAGCATCAGAATGAATCCTGAACACCAATGGGCCTAGCTCAGTTATTAGTTTTTACCATAGTTGCGGCGCACCTCGGTGTGCGGATTTGCGGATGAATTGCGCACCACACAGCGCACTGGAAAAATTAGGTCCAAAAAAAAAAAAAAAAAAAGTAGCGTTTTTGTAATTTCTTAGGCCCCCAACTCGGCAAAAATGTTAAACTCACCGCGTGAGCTCGGAAACCGGCCGCGCCCCTGGCCCGGATTTTTCTCTTGGGTAAGGGCTGCCAAATTTCGATTTCCGCAGGCCCTTCCCCCAAAAGTTTTAGAATGGCGAAGCATAAAATAGCGCTCATTCCAACTTTTTTTTTAGGCGGGGTATGGAAGCTGTCCTTCCCGCTCCCTTCTGCAAATCCCACACAGTGGTGGGGTAAGTTCGCAAGAAGGGGTAGTCGCCTAATAATGACCTGCCTCGCGAAGCTTCGCAGATGTCACAAGTTGCAATTTCCGTGGTCAGCCGACCACCAATATATGCTGAAGATTGGCGTTCAGGTCTGCATGTCGGCAGTTATGGGTTAGGATGAAGATGCCCGTGGCTCTCTCATTTTTTTGAGGCCACTTGATAAGACCACTCAGGTTGTCAAATAATGGAGCGCAAATTTGTAACATATGTGTTTGCTTTTTTTGTGTGGTTTCAACAAGTTTTTAGTTGGTTCTTACGTCTCTTTCGAGATGAATAAATAGAAAACTCAATAAGTAAATAAAATACAATCGATTATCTACCCAAAATGAAATAAAGTCCCAAAGACCTATGATGGTAATACATATGGTTAACCCGATTAACATAACAAAAGCATAATGGTAAAACAAGTCAATAAAGTGAAAACAAAACAATAAAAATCCACAAAAAATGAATTCGAGCTTCCTCCATAATCATTTTCAATACTGAATTCATTATCCATAAATTAACATACATGAACGGATGGAGAGGGATTCAAACCCCTGATATTTTGTAATATGTCAGTTTTCAAGACTGATACGCGCATTTTATTTATCTCAGTTTTTTTTTCATCAAATCGCAATTGCGGATAACGGGAATCGAACCCATATCCCCTGCTTGGAAGGCAGACAATTGACCTTTAATTTATATCCGCTATTTACATATTGAATTGATTGACTCAGGCTCTTCTGGGTGAACGTGAAGTCTCCCTATCTTCACTCAAAGACTAAGAGGCAACCGTCTACTAAGTAAGATGCGATTTGATTTGTAGTAGATGGGAAGATTTGGGGGTTGAGAGTTCAAGTCTTTCCAAGCATGGGCCTATTACTCAGTTGGTTAGAGTATACGCCTTTTTTTTTTCAAACCCACGACATCAGATAGGAGGGCTGATAAAAGCATACCCTCCTACCTACTATCGGGGTGGCTCCGATCTATTGGTGGGGAGCAGCACCTGCTGGAAAACGGGTCCAACGTCCCTTACATATAACTTGAATGAACATAGTATCAATCCAAAAAACCCCATATCCAAGTAAGGTGTTGTTCTGGTCGTAGAACTCCAGATGCCTCTTCAGTCATACAAACTGACCGCCAGTACGAAGTGATTAACCTAGCATCTATCTCCATAATCTCCCACCTATCTAATAAAACCGCCTATCCTCCTCCTTCCCCCCAAACCATCCTAGATCCACTAGAGCCAGTGCAGAGGGGGGAAAAGGGTCAGAGAAAAACTCAGGTGATCTCAAAGAAGCTCCTGGCTGGATATCAAACCAATTGTGGAAGGTGATCTGGTAGTCTATGCCTGATAAGTGTAAAGTCAGTAGTTCAAATCTACTTAGGCCCACTCTGCCCTGCTGGCGAGCCGCGCTCGCAAGAGCGTTTTCTTTTCTTTTATTTGATTTTCTTTCCTTCGGCCTCTCATCTCACGGCAAGCGCGCCACAAAGTGGATTGATGGCGGAAATAGCTTAATGGTAGAGTATAGCCTTGCCAAGGCTAAGGTTGAGAGTTCAAATCCCTTTTTTTGCTCGTCAGCTTCCTTTGCTGCCTGACCAAGAAAAGAATGGAGCCGACACCACCCCACCCTGGGGTGGGTGGGAAAGATGAATGCTTCCCGGCGGTTGTGGCCACTCCAAGAATGATGAAACTAATACCCATTTTGTTTAGTGCTATAGGCGCATTTTTGGCGTATCATGTTTTTGTGCAAATCAATTTATATATGTTTTGAAAACTAGTACACTAGGCATGAAGTGCTATTGTTTTTTGAACAAGCGGTGGTTATTTGATAAGGTTTTTAATGATTTCATAGCTAAATCATTTTTACATTTTGGGTATGAAGTTTCTTTGAAAACTTTAGACAAAGGTGCTATTTCCGTTTTGGGTCCCTATGGAATTTCCACCACATTTCAAAAATTAGCAAAGCAAATAAGACTTTAATAAGTACACTTCAAAGTGTCTTTGTGTACCATTATGCTTTTGTTATGTTAATTGGGTTAACCATACGAATGCAATGACTTGCTGGTTCCAGGTTGCCTGTAGCCTCTCTCTGACGAGGCTGTAACCTAGGTAGGGACAGATTCGTAATTTTGTTTGGCTGAGGGCTAACCGAGAGACCTACCTGTAAGGAAAATTCGTGAGGGACATATTTGTAAATATAGGAAGTATGGGCCCGGTACTAACTCGAATTTCCTGCAGCTACCCTAACTGCGAATAGCAGACCTGGGCTACCCCTAGGACAGACAGGCCCAACGGGCCTACGCTGATAGACGGTCCTATAGCCTATAGCCGGGTAGGGAGAGGCCATAGAGGCCGAAACAGAATTGGTACCGGTCGGTCAGTCAGTCCAGTCTAGGTCGTGTCTAGGCTAGTTTAGGGTATAGATAGGATGGGGACATCGGTCCTGGGCTTTTGGCAGTTGACACTTCGTGGTGGAAGTTGCTGCGCACACGGTATCAGGTCGTGGTTGCTGATTCCAGTGTGGGAGACGGCAGACATAGCCAGACCTTCGGAGCGTTGACCAGACTGGGGTCAACGCTGTCCGCTCTGACTCTCTGGGAGACAAAGCGGTCTGGGCTATTAGAGGTCTGATGCGTTGGAGCACGTGGTGCACTGCTGACCCTCCTCAGGAGTAGGGTTCCAGTGGCGATGCAGCCATAGCTGCATCTTCTCAGAGGATACCGTCGTCTGGACTTCATCTTCATCAGGGACTGTTGGCGCTGAGCTTCTTCCTCATCATCTGAGTGGCGATTGGCTCTGGGAGCCTGTTTCACCTTGGCGCAGGCCACTGAGTTGGATGTCAGGGTGGCGCTGGGTGTTACCTGCGGTTCTGGTGCTATTTTTAGCTGTTCGGTGTGTGTGGGGTTGAGGCGCCACCCCTCTGAGGGTAGCGCAACAGGGTTCTGAGATTATTCATTGAAAACGATGCTCTGAGTTTAATAAACAGTGGTAATACTGTGTTTGAGTTGTCATCTCTTCATTGATTTCTGGCTGTGATCACTCGGTTGTCTTCAATGAATGATTGTTGGGACCTGTGTGGAGAGAATTCACAGTTTTGTGTGTTCTGTCACTTCGCTTCCCTGAGTCTGCGTTTCTTTCTGTTGGGCGGTGTGACACTCCACTACCTCTCCCCTTCCTTCTGTGCATGTATGGGCGTGTACGGGAGTTCCTGTGAGTGAGCGTTGATAAAAATTCAACTGACAATCATGTTCATAACACGAATACGTCCAGTGGGGCCTGCTCCACTACTCACCAAATGCACAAAAGACATAGCATATGGCGGTGTATGGTTTCATGTTTTAGCAGAAGATTCATTCTACTAATATTATATACATTTGGTGAGTGGTGGAGGCCCTGAGAATCACGTGGAGACACGAACAGGGTCTAGCTGAATTGGTGACCCATAACTGCCGAGCTACAGCCCTGAACTCAGCATATATTGGTGGTCTGCCCCCATCTCTTCCACACATGACGAGGCCATCCTTCTCATTGAAGCAGTGGCCCTCAATGGCTCCACATGTATTGTAGGAGCCATTCGAGGTACCTGCAGGGGCCCTCAAATTGACGTGAAGGTGACCATTTGTTGTCTTTCTCTCTCTCTCTCTCTCTCTCTCTCTCTCTCTCTCTCTCTCTCTCTCTCTCTCTCTCTCTCTCTCTCTCTCTCTCTCTCTCTCTC